TTTCGACAGAAATTATTTATTTATAATATTTTGAAAAAAACAGCTAGAATAATAATAATTTTTTTTACAAGGTAAACATATGCATCAGCTTTCATTAAAGGGTCACATTGTTTCTTTCACTTTTTACCTTTATTTTTTTTAATAAATAAATAAATAACTTCTGTCCATCACAGTCAATTACAATGCTTTCAGTCTCTTTAACCTTGGCTAATGCAACAAGCTTTCTTTTTGTCAATGTCAAGTCATTCTCTAACTTCATTTTCCACTTTGCAAGGGAAATGTGGAGCCAAGTAACGCATAGAGCAGCAATAAGATGGTCTTGCCTTGTTAAAGTTGCTCAGTTGTACCCGGTCGTGTGGGGGGTTCGGCCTCAGAGATTAGTTAGTTAGGACAAAGTTTCGGATACTTCGGGTTTTTTTTTAAAAAAAAAAAAAAATTTGTTGCTCGGTTTGATTGTGGCTTCTGAAGTTTTTAGAAAGAGCGAACTTTGCTGAATGTAAAAAACACACACACCAATTTGAGCTAAGGACTCATAATCCATGCGGAAGGTCTGAGCCCAAAGCTATAAGCCCAATACGCATTAATAACTACACAGTTTAATATCTTGCAGTTGTTCAACAAGAAACATTAGAATTGATAAATGGAAAAAAAATTATATATATCGTGATTACAAATATAGAAAATACTAACACATCTTATCTAAAAAAAATTCGAACTTCAACTAAAATCTTTATAACTAATAATGAAAAAAGAAGAAGAAATAATTAAGTACAAAAAATAATAACAAATTCTTTTAGATTTTGAAACAAATAAAATAAAATTTAAAAAGGTAGCACACCATTTTATCATTACATATACCATTGATGGGTAACGGAGATGGGTCAAATCAAATGTAGTACGTTTATTTTCGGACACAAAAACTTGTGAGGCAAAAATATTTTCTGCCAACTATATTTATGATATAAATATCCTTTTGCTTGCTTTTATTATAATGAGAGACATCGAGAAAGTCTAGCTTTTAAATTTTTATATCTATGTTGTCGTAACTTGATTTTACAAGTGACACTCCCACCTATTTATATATAGGACATTCACCTCATTAATTAGCAATATTAGGAGTCGTAAAAAAAAAAAAAAATAGATGCTAACTTACTCTTCACCTAAATATCTACCGCATCTACAAAACTCTACTCCTCTAATATCCTATTCAATCTACTCATTTCTATAAATCTTTCAATATTCTAGAGTCTACATTTTTTCATACAACACTCGTCACGTGTTTTAAAAGTGTCCAAGATGTATATTCAAATTACAAGACACTTACACCGATATTGAACATGTGTCCCACGAACGTGTTGGATATGGTACGTCGCGATACTCTGTGTTCAAAGGTATCAAGCAACCATTAATTTAGAAAAGCTTTACATAGAATTCATTTTTTTGTCAATCTAAACACATACTGCCCAATCAGGCCCTGCACAAAATGGTAACAAAAATTAATGCTCAGCAGCCCAAAAAATAACGTCATAGGACGAGAATACGGGTTTCAGTTTTCAAAACAAGAGAGATGAAACATGACACAATCATCTGCACATATATATATTGTCAGTTACCTCTGACAATAAGAATCATAACCTCTTTGGCAGTAGTATATATAGCATAGTTCTATTACAAACCAGATGAACATTTATATATCCATATATTGTATTATTCTGTATATGTAGCATTCATTTTTGGTCACGTAATTGTTCAGGAAGCTAGCTAGCTGTTGGCTTTCCACTCAGCACTATCTTTTGCATATCAATTAAGTATCCAATTTTCAAGGTATATTTGAAAAGAATTTACTCTTTTTGCCACTTTTTCCCTGTAAAGTAGTGCCATTGTTACAGAGGGAGAATAAACAGAAGATGAAGCAGCTGTAGTCATATATAGATCAACTATATTGGTAAAAAGGATTATAAGTAAAACACATCCAAATACTTCAACTTGGGTGATGAAATTCACCTGCATGCATGAAACCTCACTCGATCATAATCTAATTATGATGTGACTTAGGTGGCCTGAGTACCGAAGAAATCTCAGTGCAATACTTGATGTCCATCGGTCGAAACTCAGGATGCTTGTCGCAGTCACGGTTGTAAAATAACACTTTTTTGGATTTCCATGGCTTTTGCACATTGTATAAGAGCAACTTTTCTTCCCAATCTAAGGTGGAATTAATATGGCGCGCCTACATGCCATAATAAAAGAGACAATAAATGGCATGCAACTACGTACAGAAGGATGTTACATATGCAACATGGGAAACGTCTATAAAGCTCTGTGGCCATACTGAAACGTACCCTAAATTAATTTCTAAGGCTATTCCATGTGCAACAGATGACAAACATGTACAACAAAGGATACTTATAGTTTTACAGGCTCTTCTGGACACCCTGTAGGCTGTAGCACAGGCAATGACTACAGCTACCAACCAATATATATATATATATATATATATGTTACAATTATATCTCAGGCTTGCTTAGCCCTGCCATCTCACAAACACATTCAACACTTGAACTTAATTTAATGCACTGAAATACAAGTACGTATACATGTAGCCATGGACTCACGCACAGTCTTCAACAAAGTCAATAAGTTATTGTCTTATCGATTTATATATATAGACAAGAAATTAAATGCCACTCTGCGACATACACATGCACAAATGTCTTGCAACGGAGGTGTTAGTAAAACTTGCTAAATCAGTGTGAGCTTCAAAGCATGGTAGTTAACCCCAAATCACAGCTTTTGTAAAACCAGTTAGCAAATCTATAATCAAACTTTGTGAGCTGGACAGACTATATCGTCAAAGTTTAAATGTCAATTCTGTAAGCAACAAGCAGAATCACAAACTTCAAATTTTGGCACATAAGCTGACCTTGACAGTCAAAGCAAACTGGTATCCATGAAATGATGCAACACCAGAGGTCCAAAACAACACAAAAAAGTTGAAGTTATGTTTAAGACCTGCATGTGATCTAGCACTATGCTCTAGCTATATATATTTTTTCAATAACCGGATTGTCCGTGGCAAAATCCACTCGAGCTTTACAAAACGACTCCTCCACACGATTAGAGTAAAGCTCGGATATGCAAGTCCTGCGGTTAGCACTATGCTCTATTTCTAGTAGTGGAATCATAACAGCATATGCCATGTAAAACTCCAAATGTTTAATCCCATTTCAGTTCTTAATTAAGGGAAAATCTTATGCTACCAATTAAATACAACATGAGAAGTCATCCTGATAGTTACTTTAATTGTTTGTGCCGGGAGGTAGGTGGTTTATGCGCACCCATCATTTACGAACTGTGAAAACCGGCATTAATTGTGTTCTTAGAACTGCAAATGTAAGTGATCAAGTGATCGAGCTCTTATTTCTGTCAGTGGCTGATAAAGGCGGTGTCACTACTTTCAATATATATAAATATACTAAGCTGTGTGTTGTTCACCCACTAGCTACACTGTACATGAATTCTCTAAAGTTGGTTAACCACTTCATATATATGGTCCACTATTTTTAATTGCTAGGGTTACTCTGCAAGAAAGGTCATCATCTACCAGTATTGTGGACTCTCTGCCACATCAATCACTATAGGTAGTCAGAAGGTAGTTGTGCCTGCATTGAGTTATGGTTCGCTTCATTGTACTAGTTTCACAAGCACAATTCTTTTAGAAAAAGATAGAGAGTCATTTCTGTTTTATTGGAGAACAAATCCATCAATATTGATTCTACATAATTATAAGACGAATACACTTTACTCAACCTTAAGCACAAACCCATACCAATTAGTTTCAAATCTAAAATTCTAAATAAAGAATGAGACTATATTGATATACATATCCTTATAATTATGTGAGACAAGATAGGTTTGCTTGGTTTGTTGTTAGAAAATAGTGGTCAATAATTCTAAAAAACAAAATATTTATTTTTAGAGAATTATAAAAGACAATTTTATGAAATAAATAGTTTTTTGGTTTTTAGTTGCCAAAAATTGAAAAAGCTGAACCAAACATGCCATATTTTTTTGGACTGACCAGTAAAGTAAGAAGACCAAATTTTTATTACTTTATAAGGACTGACCATTCCTGACTTCAAAAAAATTCTATTCTTATTTTTATCCTAATCTCTTCTAAGAAATTGTTTATGCTCCAGAGTCGAGCCTTAATATTTCATAAGGCACCGAGACTAAATGATTTACCTACTTAAAAGTCAAGGGTTAAAGACATGGGGCTTGGGAGAGTAACTTTCATGTTGGATTTGAAAAGTAGAAACTTCTATTCCTTTTGAACATTTATGTATGTTCATTGGTGGGTATTTGTATTAGCTAGTTAAAGATGGCAATAGCCCGTTTGGGGCGGGAATGCTATCTCCATCCTCATCCCCGCCCCCAAATTACTTATTAAACGGGGTAGGAATGAGGTGGTAACAAATTTTGTAAAATATTTTCGTAATTATAATATGAATATAACAGAAGTAAATTAAAAAAAAAAAAACTATGATAATTTTTTTCTTCTTATGCGAATAAAAACAAGATTAAACTTCTCAATTGAAAATCAAAACTAAAATTATTGTTGAACATTAAAATACTATATACAGTTTTAAAATAAAAATAATATAAAAAAATATTTAATGATTGAAATAAAATAAATTAAAATTTGCTTAATATATACCTAATATTATTAAATATAAAATAAATTATAAAAACAAAATTTTAATTTATCACCATAAACAGAACGTGCCATCCCTAGTAGTAGTGTTGCCTCCCGAAACCCTAAATTGGTCTTTGGGAGTTTCTAATAGGGCAACCCGAACTCGTTTTTTACGGGCAATTTAGGGCGGGTGTCGACGGGTTTTGTTGGCAATGGCCGGGCTAGAGAATCAGCTGTAACGTGTATGGGCTCCATTTGAGAAAGAAGTGTGAGCATACGTGGCTAAGATTGCTTCGGATTGCGTGAGTGATGTCTTTTCACAAACCAAGACAAGGCCAACAAATAAATTCTTCAATTCTCTCCCTTTGTAGCAGCAGAGAAACAAGAGAGAGATGAGTAAGATGAAATCATCCAGCTCCGAATTGGACTTTGATCGACCCAACATCGAAGATTATCTCCCCTCTGGATCCATCCCAGAACCCCATGGCCAGCTTCGCCTGTAAATCCCTCTTTCTCTATCTATCTATATATACACACACACAACTGTATATCTGCTTATTTATAGTTTTTTTTTTTTTTTTTTTTGTATATTTATTGAATCAGGCGTGATCTGCTCGACATTTCGCCCACTTTAACGGAGGCGGCTGGTGCCATTGTTGATGTAAGCTTTTCCTGTTTCTCTACTTCATTCTCTCATTTTCCTTTCACTATTTTAAATATAATCACTGACCTAATTATATTCTCAGTTTTGGGAATCAAACAACTGAATTGTAGTCATATTGGTGCCTTTATATTTATTGGAGTTTCGACTTGTGGTTATGTTATACTAATACACAAAGATTATAAATAGATTTGATCATCTTCTTCACTTGTCCTGTAATGATAATGTTCTTAAAGTGGGTTAGAATAAGAATGTGAAATCAACATAAGAATGTGAAATGCCCTTCTTTTTGGCGATGACTGATGAGTGTATATGTAAATGCATTTTTGCCCCAACTTAACGAGGCTGTATTATGTAGTTAAAATATAGAGTGTGCTTTCTTTCTTACTCTCAACTCATGGTCCTTTTCCCCCCTTTGACTTCTCCTTGCTACTTTGGACTTCAATTACATTCCTCCTGGTCTGTGGTGGGACTTTATTTTAAATGGAACATTTCAACAGGAAACTCTTGTCCTTGTAGCTTTCTTCAATTTGAGGGGTTGAACATATTACCTTAATTGAATCCATTTTCAACTTATCAAGAATTTATTCGGTTATGTGCCTATCATGTTTTCTTATGCAATTTAGCTATCTAAACATTCTTTCTTTTATATTAAAAACTACATGTTCTCCAAACATTGCCATGGGATCTCTTCTCGGATAGGCCTATACAGTTCAATCCATATCTAGTTGAAGTGACATGGGATCAATGCTTACTATTGGTGTTATGCGGATATGGAAAGGGGCATGCACGTGATTTGGATATAAGACATGCCATGAGCCATGACATCAAAAATTAATTTTTAGGTCACGCGATATGGCTATAAGACACGCCTTCCAATCATTCTCTCTCATATTCAAAGAAATATTATCTATATCAATATGTGATGGTGAAATATTCTCAATTTTTTATCCCATTAAACTTCCTTGATGTATGAACAGGACTCTTTCACGCGTTGTTTCAAGTCAAATCCTCCAGAACCTTGGAATTGGAACATATATTTGTTTCCGCTATGGTGCTTGGGGGTGGTAATTAGATATGGGATTCTGTTCCCTGCAAGGTCAGTTTTTCTATTATTCAAAGACAGATTACGTGTGTAATTGTAATGTTTAGTAGTCTGTTCCTTGTATGTAGCTTACTTTCCCTGGAAGAGAGAGAGAACTAAAGGGGAAAAAAAAAAAAAAGGAAAAAAAAGAAAAGAAAGTGCAATTTATTGTTCTTTATCTTAGTTTTCAGTTTGGTTTGATGTTATGTTGGGTGCAAGGGTTATGCTTTTTTTATATGAATCTCATTTTTGCAAGTACAATTTGCATATTCACTGTTTGAACACTTGCCATACATGTAATTAGTTAATTAAATATAATTGGAAGTCTTAAAATATTTATTGTATATTAAAGCAAGTTCAGTATACAAATATTAGCTACTCAGTCTTGGTTTGATTTTCCCTTAGGGCTAGTTTGGTGTGGTGGAATGAATTGGAATGGAATAAGAATGGAGGTGGGAATGGAATGAGAATGGAATGGAATGGTCATTCCTTTTGTTTGAAGGTGGAATGATTTTGATGGAATGACCATTCTCCAAGAATAGTGGGGAATGATAATTCCAACTTTAAAATTGGCACCAAACACGAGAATGGAAAAAAAAACCATTCCATTCGACTTTTTTTTATTCCATTCCACCGCACCAAACTAGCCCTCAGTTTCTTCCCATAGCAGTGTTCAGTTGCTTCCCAAAATTGGATAACACTCTCCTTTGATGTAGTGGCTCTGCATAATTTTCTCAGAGTGAAGCTTGTGTAGTATTGTCTCAATATAATTCAACCCATATTATTGACTCAAGTTTAGTGGAATCAGTTGAAATCATCATAATGATTAAAAAACTAATTTGACATCGTTCTAGAAGATCATGGGTTCCCAGAGGTGTTATTTGTTAATTTAACATTTTAAGTGGTTAGTATATTAATGCTTCCCATTATTGTTGCTTTGCAGCTATTTGATGGATCTCATTTGAATCTGCAGGGTTCTTATATTGACAATAGGGTGGATAATATTCCTTTCGTCCTTTATTCCAGTACATTTTCTGTTGAAAGGGCATGATAAGTTGAGGAAAAAGTTAGAGGTATGATTGATTGCTTAATACTTTCAGCCCGCCTTGCCAGGGTTATCTCTCTCTCTCTCTTTCTTTCTTTCTTTTGCCCCCCTAATGTATACAGTTGTAAAGAGAGCAGTTTTCAATGATATGGTTTTGGATTTTTATGTACTGATGGTAAATTCTTGATGCTCTTTGGTGTCTTCCTTGGCTGGATTTAACAAAAATAAGAAATTGTTTTGTTCTCAGTTTGTCAACCAATTATCAACTTTTTTTTTAGAGGTTCACACTGTCAAAATATATCAAATGATATTCATGGGATTGTTTTAATGCACTCTCTTCCTTAATTGTAGTATGATACTGCAAAGTTTTTACCTCTTGGGAAGGTGTATAATCTCATCACCAGAACTCAGAAGGATGGAAAAAGAAAAAGAAAAAGAAAAAAGTACACCAAATACGTACAGTGCCTTACATGGAAACCCAAGGGATGAACCCCCAAAAGTAAACTTCAAGTAAAGAGAAACCCCTACTTTACCTATCAATGACCACTCTACAAAAGTCAAATTGGAAAGGGAAAACTCATGGATCTGGATTGCATGAAAACCCAACTTTAATTCTAACTCGTGTCACAGTCACAGTATGTTAGTCTTAACTCAGCATACGATCAATATATCAATGAATGTAATTTAGAATTGAAAATACTATACTTATTCAAAATTTAACTCAAATGCTATGGCAACAAGGATTATATCTGTCATCAACATAGTTTATATATCACTGACACGGTCTATAAATATTAAAATAAAAAAATTGCCGATCTATGTATTGATATAGTGATAATAATACTTTAATGGTGATGATTTTTCTATGATCATAATGAACTATCTGGAAAATTTTGAGTATACTTTTTAAAATTTAATGATGCCACATTGTACATGTACGCAGACATTCATAAGTTGGTAATATTATTGTTAGACCATCTGACAAGTATTTGCTCCATTGGTTATTTTCTCGTCAGAGGTGTCTAGTGGAGTTAATTTGCAGCTTCTTCGTTGCATCATGGACTGGGGTTGTCAAGTACCATGGACCACGGCCTAGCATGCGGCCTAAGCAAGTATGTAGACTATTCTTTTAGGTGTCAGCTGGTGGTTTTTTAAAAGGCTATTCCAAATCAGTTTTCATGTGTTTGAATGTGTACCTGTGGTTCCTTTTCATTTTTGAACAGGTTTTTGTGGCCAATCACACTTCGATGATCGATTTCATTATTTTAGAACAGATGACTGCATTTGCTGTCATTATGCAGAAGCATCCTGGATGGGTTGGTAAGTGTTTAGTCATTCGATACCTTAATAAATTTGTTGAATTTGTTTTTGAAGTATTTCTTATTGATTGCTTTCCCTGCATTTTGCATGTTTTTCTTGGAAAAGATACCTGAAGTCTGCCTCAAAGATATGGTTTTTTATTATTAAAAAAGAAAGAATTTTTTGTATTTGTAAATTCCAAATAGCATAAAATTCATTCCACATGACTTGAGTTGGGTGAAGTCACCATTTACTTTTCTACTTAAGAAGTATAGCATTGAGATTTTTATCAAAAAAAAAAAAAGAAAAAAAAGAAGAAGAGGAAAATGAGAACTGCCAGAAATAGGTTGTTTTTCGTGATAGCATAGGTTAAACTTTTGGTAATGATTCTATTGTGTTTGCCTGTTGCACAGGACTGTTGCAAAGCACTATATTGGAGAGTGTAGGATGCATCTGGTTTCATCGTTCTGAAGCCAAGGATCGTGAAATTGTTGCAAGAAAGTATGTTATGGGATGCCCAAATACTGTATGTCATGATGACATATTCCACAATGTTACTTATAAAAGGAATTCCATAAAGTTCTAATATGAGATTCTATTATTCAGGTTAAGGGATCATGTTCAAGGGGTTGACAATAACCCCCTTCTTATATTCCCTGAAGGAACTTGTGTAAATAACCACTACACTGTTATGTTCAAGAAGGTAACTGTTGTTGGTCTGCCATGTTGAATCTATTATGTGAATAGTTGAATCTTTTATCTTTTATTCATGTCAATAATTTCTAGTTGCTCGACCCTCCTCCCTTCCCCCTTTCCTTTCTTGTTCATCCCTAACAGCAAATGAATTTTCTGAGTGTTAAGGGAATTGTTGAATTCATACACTTTGGTATTCTGCATGCCTCAATTATCTAGTTTGCTTCTCTATCAGATGCAATGTATTTCTCAATAGAAGATAAATTGGTTAGGTAGAATTTGGAGTTAGTTGTTGTGAAATATTAAGTTGAACAGAGTATTTATTTATTTATTGTTTAAAACTATTTGTTTCTTAAATTCTTGGTGGTTGTTATATTTAACTCTTTCTCCCTTATGCTTAGGGTGCATTTGAACTCGGTTGCACTGTTTGCCCAGTTGCAATCAAGTACAACAAAATTTTCGTTGATGCCTTTTGGAACAGTAGAAAGTAAGTATCTTGTAGTGTGATTATTATTATCCATAAATTTACTTTGCATGCACTGTAATTGCTGGTTTAACCTGCTTTTTCTTCTTTTATTTTGATATTTCCAAGATGTGTGTTTATTCTCAAACACCTTCTGACACACTAAATTGTGCTGTTTAATGATCTAACTGCCTTCCCCAGGTGGTGGGACAATGACTGTTCATTGGCTTTCCAAAACTAAAACAGATGATACTATATTCGTAGCTTAGATCTGCTGGCAAAAGATTGATTCTGTTGTTCAAATGTTTATATATTACGTTGGTCAGGCACTTGTACCCCTAACCATTCTGGTAGCTGCAGATGTGTTATAGTAGCTACTACTTATTTGGGAGAAGGAAGCATACATGCTTGCCTTCAAAGCGGCAGTTATTAGTATAACTTGTAGGTTGAACCTAAACACGGCGACTTGCACAGCTTTTTGTCCAAAGTGAGACTCATTTTTTTGCTGAAGTTTTATGTGAAAGAGCAATCTCTTCATATGTATGTTTCTGTAAGAAAGCAGATACTAGTATACCACAAATAAGTATTCTTATTGTGGGGGGTAGGTCCTAGGATTAAGCTTTATCTTTTCCTTTTTTGTAGGTCCTAACATTAGGCTTCACATTATTCACCTGCATTAGATATTCAGACTTGTTGATATAATACTGATAAACTCCAAAAATAAGCCTGGATGACATACCATATTTGCAGGCAATCCTTCACAATGCATCTGCTGCAGCTAATGACATCATGGGCTGTTGTTTGTGATGTGTGGTACTTGGAGCCCCAGAATCTGAAGCCTGGGGAGACACCTATTGAATTTGCAGAGAGGTGAAAATATATTCCTGAGTTGCAATGAGTAAATTATGTTACTAGGCATGTATTCATCATTAGAGATGAAGCAATCTTTCTTTGAACTACCGAAATAGGGTTTGTTTCTAATTGATTTGATGCTCCTTGTGCAGGGTCAGGGACATTATTTCCGTTCGAGCTGGTCTTAAAAAGGTACCCTGGGACGGATATCTGAAATACTCTCGTCCTAGCCCCAAGCATAGGGAGCGGAAGTAAGTTGAACTTTTATTATCATCTACTTCACTTGTGACAAATAGCTGTGGTGATTTAATCTCTATCTCTCATATCACTTCTAGTCCGAGAGATGGTGTAAATTATTCAAGTCCTTCGTGCAAACTTTTTTGGCCCTTAACCTCTAATATAATTTTTGATTTATATTATGGGCAAATTGTCCGATGTTTCTTCTTGGTTACATCATCCCTTGCTCCAGAGGTAGCAATTGGCTGTCCTCATCTTCCTGTGGGGCTTACTCACTCATAAAGAGTTCACCATCCTAATCTTGATAAAAGGTGGGATTTAATCCAAGTCTCTTCTACAACTGAGAGACCTTTATCAGATTGCTAGTTAACAGGTCTACATCTTCAAATTATAACACACACACACACACACACATATATATTTTAGTCCAGTGCACGAGGCTCCTGCCATGGAGCCTTACCTCCGCATGGAGAGGTGGTTTCTGAATTCCGGTTTTGAACCGGTGACCTTCCCAAGTCACAATGAAGCAACATTACTGTTGTAGTAGCACCTGGTCCATGATAAACTTTGTCCATGTCTATCATCCGAGTTTAGCAAGTTCTTGTGTTGCACAAACAAGGATGCTGGAGTCATTTGCAAGCTAGTTCTTTTGATTTTCCTGCCAATTTACTATATTGTGATGTTTGATTTTTTATGGTGGCTAGTGCTGTTACTTGGACCTAAGACCTTGCTCAGTGGCATTTTTTTAGTTCATGAAAAGTTTAGATTTTAAAAGATGTCATTTCATATTGCACGGTCCTTAAAATATTAGCACTCAATGTCTGAAACGTCCTTGTATTAATAAAGATCAATGTCTCTTATCTCAGTTGTTTTTTATTTTTATTTTATTTTATTTTATTTATTTGCAGGCAACAAAGCTTCGCAGAGTCGGTGCTGCGCCGATTGGAGGAAAAATAATCAACGGATTTGTATTGATTTTTTTTTTGGTGGTTTAAATTTCATGTAGCCCTTGTAGCTGTCTAAATACACAGGTACTTTGTCTACCTCAATTCCCTGTTTATTTGAATAAAGATGATTTCGATTACTGGAAGGATATGAACTAGGATTGAAAACAACTTCCGGAAAGAACAATCATGTGGTAAACATGGTTTCTTTTTCTCAATACATCAAAACGTGACTAGTAGCTTGGCGTGACTAGTAGCTTGGCCTGAATCTGTTGGACGCGTGTTATTTATTTGAATGTTTGACATGGTTCATGATACGAAAATTGATGTGAAAAGTATCAAGGTGGTTTGATGGAACCTCCGCTGGGTGCTGGGTCAAGTACTCAAAGTCTCTCAATATAATGTGCTGTATGCCCTTGCACATGAACTTATTGCATTGCGATATCCATATATGTCTGAGTCATCTAGATACCACATTCTGTTTGACGGGACCATTGCATGGAACAGGAGGGATTCCAGTACCAGCATGTGTGATGGGAGCACATGGTGTGCTGTACAATCACCACCCTTGAAAAGTGCAAATTGTGGTGTTGGTGGCTTAAGGCCAAACGGTCGGGTCTCATGTCACCGTTGGGGACTCATATTACAGTGACACCACCTGGACTCCCTTATTGTGTGGGGTTGTGATATTTTCCTTTTATAAGCGAATGTGCCACAAGAACTGAAACTGAAAATGAAGAGCACTTGTGGTTCTTCACGGGTGAAACAGTGATTGTGGTAGCATGTGGATTCATTTAATACGATATGGGTCCTCCCTCCGCTATATGCGTTGTCTTTGATGGGTTGTGTCTCGTGGGTCGTGTCCCACTTTAGCTGCCATTGTTTTAAAGCAACGTACCAGACCTACCAGTTACCCCTTCTGCAAATGGGAATTCTATGAACAGAATGATGGTTGATTGGGCTACTTACAACTTGAATGTGTTAAAATGATTATTCCACAGAATTGGACACAATTGGGAGGTAGTGGAGGTGGGTTCCATAAAAAGTTGTTTTATTAGTGGAAAGGAAAATGGATGACACCGTTGGTGGGAGGGTAAAAATACAAAAAAGTAGAGACTTCTCAACAACAAAAGGCGGATGAGACTTTGAAATTATTTGTTTTATTTTATTTTTCCGTAAAAGTGAGGCTTCTCAAGATTTTTATTTATTTATTTTTGAAAAAGTGTGTTTAGAACTGTTTATTTAAAATTGAAACAAACTCTCTTGTTGAAATTGTGTTCGGTTTTTCTTAAAGGATTGAAAATAGAAAATGTTCAAGTTGTTTTTAAAAGCATCAAATTGATAATTTGGAATGGAAATTAAAATAAAATCAGTTCCAGATTTGATACTCACAATATACACTTTGAAACCAGCTTTCAAGAGTCTGAAAATAAAAAATTAATTTTTTTTTAATTTTTTTTTATTTATAAAACATCATTATCTAATATTTCTTTAAAAAGACAAATGGAGGTTGAGAATTTGATTTCTCTTGAAGTCAATTTTCTTTCTAATTTTTAAATTTTTTTTTTATAATTGTACCATGCAGGTGGGACAAAAACCTGCACATTGTTTATTTATTTTCTCCAATTATTCAATAATAATATTTTTTTTTTTCAAAAATTAAATCAAGTAGGTTGGTAATTTCACAGTTTTTTTTTTTTTTTTTTCGTAACTATTTTAAAAAATTCAGTTAAAAACATAATTGTAATGTTTTATAACTTTCTTGAGACCATTATCGTTTTAGACTCCTCGCATAAATGCTGGAATGAGTTATTTGCCTAGCAGAAAATAAAATACAAATAGAAAAAAAGAAAAGAAAAAAAGTGACCTTTCATGTTAAATGTATATTTGAAAGTCCGCTCGTCGGTTTTCGTTATAGAGGTTGGTCGGGGTTAGGTAGCTCCATTATTGGGTACCCAATAATTTTTCCCGCTGCATTGTGACACTGACGCAGCGTCGGTTATCGTTATATCCTCTGAACGCTCGTACTAATAATTAACAGCTTTATTCCGATCTCTCTCAAACCCTAGTGTCCAACAAACAAAGATCGGTGATTGTTCTTTCTCTATCTGCTCTCACAGTTTCATTCTTTCTTTTATCTTCCGGGCAGCTTCTTCCTGTTTCTTTCACCTGTCTCGAATTTTGAACCAAACAACACAAAAAAATCCTTCTTTCCCACTGCATTTTGAGTTCTTTGTTTTCTTGATTCTTTCCCCAATTTGGGTTCAATTGCTTCTTGATTTCATCCTTTTTGCTCTGTGTATATATATATATATATTAATATGTAGATATATTCGCTTATACATATACATTAACATGAAACACATGCATTGAAATAGAAAAGTAATATATTGCGCAGTTGTTTTAACGGAAAACTACAATGACTATTTTATTTTGGTATCCTCTGGCTAGTTATTAGCTTAGCTTGTAAACAGTTTTTAAAAAATCTAATTGGTTGTTGTTTATGTACATCTTGAATCTTGAATTTTAGAGAATGTACAGACAATAATTGAATCTTTACTGTAAAAGATTGTACACTCTGAATTCTGACATGGGTATTTTTTTATTATGAAGAAATAATACCAATTCTTGAACAATGGCGGTTGCACAACTGGGTGGCGAGGCGCTGTTTGATGGATTGACCAGTAGAAGTAGTGGGTGGAACCCAATTCAGAAGGTGACAAACGCGATTTGTTCAGGACGAGCACGAGGAGTTTCCAGTTCTGTTATGTTAATTAATAGGAAGAGATTGATCCACGGAAATGTTGTTTGGGATTGCAATCTGTTCTCAAACCACACATCAATGTCGGTGCATTCAATACCGAGTTTTTGCAGAAGAAGGCGTGTTTTTCCCATGGTCAGTTGTCAGTTGAGTTCTGATTGTGGCATTCACTCTTCTGATTTGCAGCAGATTTCTGGTACAGAAGAACATTTGCTCCCAAGTTTTAGCGGAGAAGTTTAGTAAGACCTTACACCGGTCATCTTATTTTTCATCATGGTAGTGGTATTGCACAACATGTTACTGTTTTTTTTTTTTTTTTAAAGGATGTGTGCAATTTTTCATGGGAGCAGCATGCATGTACTGAAATGTCTGATGCTTTAATACATGTTATCCATCTTAGTTTAGTAGACATAAACTTAGATGGATAACCAATAATTATGCATCGGGATATCACCGTTGACATTCACATTATATGTAACATAATATAAATTTTGGGATGCACATCAAGATATTCCTGCACTATCACATGCCAATCTGAAACTGACATGAGGGAAGCATTTGCCTGCACGGATAGTGATTGCAAGGATTCTTTAAGACCTGTTTGGCAAGATGGAATCACAATTTTGGTTGGGCATACATATAAGGTTGATTGAGGTGGGAGAGGAATGACCTTAGTGGTCATTGTGAACATTTTTACTGTATTGCATTTTTGTGCTTCTGAGTGTTGTTTCTTGACTTCTATGCTGTGATGTCATGGAGATAAGCATTGCACCCTTGCACGACAACGGTGTTTGTTATGACAACTCCTATAAACTAGATACTAAGACAAGACCTAGTCTTTGGGAATATATATTGACAAGTAGTGAATAGTCTACTGACAACATGTAGTGATTTATCTTTAATAAGAAAAAAAAAAAAAAAGATAAAGAAAAGAAAAGAAAAGAAAAAAAGAAGAAGTTAAAGTTAGTGTCAGTTAAAAGGTGTATCCCTCAGTTAATAGATGATGTTTAAGAAATGAAAAGCCTTCTTTATGGAAACCACAAATCTGATGCTGACCTTAGTTTGTTTTGTTGTTGCATTACTATTCCCAGTATTTTAAAATTGGAACTTTTGGCATCAATTTTTTAATCTTTTGGATTGGAAAATTTTGTGACGTGGAGCATTTTCCATAAAACTTCTTTGTTAATGGTAGTCCTGGACAAGCTTAGGTGTTTTACATGAAACAGCTTAGGTTTTTGCTCTATATCTGCTGAGGTTTGTTGTTATGTCTGTAACATTGTATTTTAATTTTGTCTAATTGGCTCCGTTGTCATAAAGCTGCTCCAACAATTGTAGCTTAATTATTGGTTCTAATTAATTTGTTAAATTTGTTTGTAGTGAGACAGAGATTCTTCCTACTCAGGATGTCAAACGTGAGCTTATAATGCTTTCTTTGCCTGCAATTGCTGGACAGGCTATTGAACCATTGGCACAACTGATGGAGACAGCATATATTGGTAGATTGGGTAAGGTGAAATATTTGATGTTTGGTCCCTTCATTTTTTTTGTGATAGTTGTGGAGAATTTTCATTTTCCTGACTAGCTTCAGTTTCTTTGTTTATGGTGAGGATTTGGGACAATATTATTATTATTATTTTTTCTTTCCCTTTGTTTCTTATAATTTATGTGTTTAGGCATATTGTTCTTGGATATTGAGTTGATTTGGCCCACAAGTACAAAGTGCCATCCATTGACATCCTCAAATAGGTTGTCATACTAGAATAATTGGACAGAGGTGTAGTAATTTGTTCCATGATTGCATCATATTGTTTGGGAATCGCATTGCAAATACATAGGGCATCATTCCACGTCTAGCAGATTTCTTATTAGCTTTAGAGATTATAGCAGGACCTACTTATTTAAGGTTAGTATTATTAACTGTCTACAGGGTACTTTAGGAGTTACTGCTCATGAATTTTAGTCGTTATATTGGAGCTATTTCAGTAGCCTGGATTTAATCATTATAGGTTGGTATAGAGTAACCGAACAATAAGCTAGTAGCACTCTCCATTTAACCTATCGGCAACATCACTGTGAATCTCTCATTTTCTTTCATTCTCTACAAATAAATAGAACTGTTTGCTTTCTATTGCTGTAAAACTAATTTTTATAAATTTACCCATTCTTTTTTATTTGTTTTGGCATTGATAGAGTAACTTTTGAAAATTTTATATTTTCTTAGATCTTACCTTTGGTAAAGGTCTGCTAGAAGATTCTTAGATCAAGGTTGCGGAAGTTTGATCTTGATTATCCTATTTACTAAATGCATTGCTACTGTCTTCTAATTCCAAAATATGGAGACAAACTGTGGGTTAGATTCTGCCCCCGGGTTATCATGTTTACATGAAACTATAACCTTTTTGTTGTTTCCTTAGGCCCTTTGGAGTTGGCTTCAGCTGGCGTGTCCATATCAATCTTTAACATTATATCAAAGCTATTTAACATCCCTCTCCTCAGTGTTGCAACTTCTTTTGTGGCTGAAGAAATTTCAAGAAATGCAAGCAGAGTTCCTATCCCAGGTAAAATTAAACTGATTTATGATGCTTTAGGGATCTCAAGTTAATTTTGAATTCGTTATAACTGCTGTTTCTAATTTTTGGATAGTTGTCGTACAGAAGATTGTGAAAGTATTAATGGCAAACCTTTCGATGGGGTAGTTAAAAGGCAGCAACTATCCTCTGTGTCTACGGCATTACTTTTAGCAGTTGGCATTGGCATCTTTGAAGCTTTAGCCTTGTCTTTGGGATCTGGACCGTTACTTAACTTGATGGGCATATCAACAGTAAGCTTTAAATATGTTTAGTTTATGTAAGATACTGATTTACCTTCTTTCCTTTGTTGTGTGTGCCCATGTGTATGCCAACAAATTTTTGACCCCAACTTCTTGGGTTTAGCCACATGAATCATATTTATCATTAGTTCTATCTAGAAGAATTTCCTAGCATGATGTTGCAATTTACACGAGCATACTTGCAAGCAGTGATGGAACCAGGTATTTACTCTAGTGGGGGGCGATTTATAACAGCCTATATATCATGCTTTTGGTGAATCAATTCACAAAACATTCAAGCTATTGGTGTTAACAAAATTTTACTTCCTTTTCCTAACTTTTTCCCCCCAAAATGATATTGCTATTTTATATGAAGAACAAGATTACTTCAAAAGGGAATTAGGGATCTTGACAGGCTTAGGGTTGAGAATTGACCAAAAGAGGTCTTCTAAAACTCTACCTCTTTGTGCGTCTTCCATGAAGAGAATTTGAGTCATAGAAAGAGATATGACCGACAGGAGACGATTTCTCCAAGTTGGGAGAAAGACTTTCGAGGGGTGAGAGAGAGAGACTTAGAGCAGGACTCTGTGGAGAGGAGATAAAAATTGAAAAAAAAATGCTAAATATGCAAATAACAAAGAGTTTTTTTGAGAATTTTGAGGTGGCAATTTTAGAATTATCAAAATATATACAAAAAATTGAGTGGGGGGCACTGCCCCTATTGAGCTCCAGATAGCTCCAATCCTGCATGCCGTAGAGCGTATTTGAACAACCAGATGCATGAATGCTTTTTTACAATGTGTATCTATCTAGAACAACGTCTAGCTACCAACCCTCTTCTTCAGCATTTGGTAGCTGTAGGTGTGTGTTGTCTATATCATCTTAATATAGTTAGCAGTTCCTCTGCTTTGAACCAAGCTATTTAGCCTTCAGTGAAGAGAAGACATCTGAAAAACAACAGAGGCTAAAATATTTTGATATCAGTTTAAATATCGCACATGTCATGACTATGCAAGTATTTGTCTATATTTGGGACAGTATGTTATCTAGTATATATATTTTTTCTCATTTATGTGTTTGTACGTGTGTGTGTGGGTGTGTGTACTTCATGTATATGACTAATCGTGTACAAAGATTTTCTTTTGGTTTAAACACAATTCTTCTCTTGGCAGTCTTCCTCCATGCGTCCTCTGGCACAAAGGTTTCTTTCACTTAGGGCCCTCGGTGCACCTGCAGTTGTAGTTTCTTTGGCTCTTCAAGGCATTTTTCGTGGTTTCAAGGATACAAAGACTCCTGTTTTTTGTCTAGGCAAGTGTCTGGTTTTAATTTTAGAGAGATAATATTAAGTATGTAATTCTCTAATTAATTGGACATTTTTTCCACAGGAATATATATTTCTTCTGTCATGTCATTAGTGGATATTTATTTTCTTGTTTCCAAGCCTTTTTCCTTTTCTGTTGATACACTAGTGATGAGAATTGAACTCCTAACCCTATCCTTGTAGACGCTGTGCCAAATTTTTCTACAGTTCTTACCACTGTGCTATGTTACTTTTTCTCCTTTTTTTGGGGGGTTCTTTTATTTACTTTTCATAATTTCATATATTTTATTGCATGGAATTATGCTGGTCTGTCTTTGATTTGGTAATTGAATAAAGAAGAATGGCAACTATGTTTTGATATTATACTGAAACTTCCAAAGTAAATGTTCAATATATCTTCTTCATGATCTTTTTCCCAGTTCAATCACAACTTTTTCAGAACAAGTTTTTCTTAGTTATCGAGCTTATGTATAATCCGATTTGTTGATTTCTGATATGTGGACTTGGATGTTAGTGTTACATGCGTATATCCCTTTTAGTGGCAGATTTGTTTGAAATGTTAATCTTAGTTCGCTGGGATATAGTCTGTCATCAAATGTGGGAAGGTTAGATATTCAGTTTGATGATAGCAGGTTCCTGCACTTTAATTGATTGATTAGGAAAGCTGGTTTCGAATTATATGGATACACTATTAATTGAAAAACAAGATGCTTTTGACAGAATATTTAAGCTACACATACGTGGTAGATTAATAGGTGTTAAGACACCATTATAGTACAGAACATAAAATATGAACTTGAAATGCATCAACATGGGATTTCAATTGCTATACAATTGAAATGCTCAAAATTGAGTGTTTTATAGGGGATTTATGTACAATCTCCACTTTACTAGAGATACTCTATATAGATACAGGAGCGTCGACTTTAAAATATTTGATATGCATCCTGTAGCTTTAGTCATGTCATATGGATCAGTATGGTTGTTGAAGTGAAGGTTTTGTTTTACTTCTTGGTGTTGGTTATGCTAAAAGGCCGTGTTGGTCATGCAAGAACTTTTCTCCTCGCATTGATGTTTTAAAATAGTTCCTGAACATAATCACCAGTGTTGTTATTGATTGACATCAAGGACTTCTGAACATGTCAGAGTTCAGTTAAATTTTAACCTTTTTGTTGAATCTTGTTTTTTTTTTTTCCTTTGTTTGTGCGCCATCAACCCCCCTCCCCCTTTTACATTTATTTCACTTCTCTTTTTGCTAATTGATTTAGTTGTTCAATATGCAGGTGTAGGTAATTTTTCAGCTATATTTTTGTTTCCCATACTTATGTATTATTTTAGGATGGGTGTAACTGGAGCAGCCATTTCGACTATTCTATCTCAGTATGTACTCTCTACTTATAGCTCTTCCTTATTTATATTCTGCATCACTTAAGAATGACCATGCTAGATTCTTTCTGTTTCAGATATATTGTTACCTTTTTGATGATCTGGTATCTTAATAAGAGAGCTGTATTATTGCCTCCAAAGTTGGGATCACTACAATTTGGTGGTTATATGAAATCTGGTGAGTGTATGTTAGGATAAATACTGCTGTGATTACAAATTCTTGACAATCATTTGATTGATTCAATTTATGCTATGATGACATTTAATTTGTGTTTCTGTGCTTCCTGTAAATTTTGAGACTTTATATTACAAATAGCATTATCAAACCAGACTCTGTCTCAGGATTTAGGAGGAGGGTAGGAAGTGTGGGACACTAGTTTTAAAATAAAGGCTAGAGATGTCAGAGGGGTGAAGCTTCTTTGCATAGACTGAAATTCTGAAAAAATTGCTTCTGAGATCTTTGTTTGGATTACAAAGTTGTATTACTTCTTTTGTAGGGTTCTCGACAGAGATGCACTTGAAGTTCTTGAGTGGTTTTCATTATAGTATTGAATAATTCGTACATACTAAGGTCGTGTCCCCTTTTCATCTTTACTGGGATTTTTACCTACCAAAAGAGGTTGCTTTTTAGTGATTTGTTGTCTAGTGAATTGGTTATTTGGAGAGAGCCTCTTACCATAGGAAGCTAGAATAAATTGTGGTCTCCAGTACACAAATAATTCTTATTCTTCTCTCTCTCTCTCTAGAACTTGACAGTAGTTTCAACAATTGAATTATGTGGGGAACATTTGTGTTACTTAGTCAACAGAAATGTTCAGTGCTAAAACACTCAAGCATCAGTGCCACTAGCGCGAGTTTGAGCCTCATAATAATCACTTTGTGAAATAGCAAAAAGTTAGGTTTTTCTTGAACCCCCTCTCACCAGCACCCTGCTGTGGCAGGGCCAAAACTTGCAAATGTCCCTTTGATCAACAGAAGGGATCACTCTTATGGCATGTCGTGTAGCATTCAATAGATGCTTTTATATTTTTTACTGCTACTGTCATGGGATATTGTGTAGCTCAGTTCTTTTAGATTGTGTTTGACTTTTTCTGCATTTAGGATCTAGTATAAGGCAATGAATGATATTAACTTTTGTTGGCTCTCCATTCAAGCATACAATTATACATGTTTTGTTAACTAGTTTAGTCGTCCAAAAGGAAAGACCAAGGTTAATTTCTTCCCATTTGCCTGGATTGTCCATTTGAAAGGACAAAATAGAAACTTCATGTCAGGAGATATTGTAGTATTTAATCATATTCTCTACTTTGGTTGCTTTCTCTGTTTTGCTATCCTGTTCTATCAAGATTCTGGGTGAATCTGTTTCTTTCTTCCATTAAATTCTGTGGTCTTCTAGGCGGTTTTCTTCTTGGGAGAACTCTTGCTGTCCTTTTGACCCTAACACTGGCAACATCAATGGCTGCTCGGCAAGGTCCAGTAGCTATGGCTGCTCATCAAATATGCTTACAAGTATGGTTGGCTGTGTCCCTTCTCACAGATGCACTTGGGGCATCTGGTCAGGTATAAAATTATCTTTCTAAAGCAGGATTTGAGTTTGCTCTCATATGCCAATTCTAAATTAGGTATCTACTCTCCCATTTCTCTGATACGAATAATCTGATTTGGTTGGGAACTGTTAGTTGATGTTGATTTTAATCAATAGAGTAAGAATTGTCTTTAGAAGGTCATAAATGTAAGCTTAAGAGAGGGCTTGTAATAAAAAATTTAAAATTGTAAGTACTTTGGTAGACTTTTTGAAGTTTTTGGTTTCCTGACAGAAGTGACCTTTTTTTGCAAAGTGCTTTTTGTGCACTTGGCAAACAGAATTGAGGCTTTTTTGAAGTCTTTCAAGTCCAAAATTTGTGCTTCACTAGGTACAGAATTTATTGTTCATGTCAAGTATTGTGGTTTATGTTTTTTCTTCTCTGACGGACTTTGTTCCTTATAGGCCTTGATTGCAAGTTCTTTTTCAAAAGGAGATTACAAGAGTGTGAGGGAAATTACGTACTTTGTGTTAAAGGTATGTCATTCTTGTATGCTTTTTCAGCAGGCTGTGTTGCTAAACTTTAGCCAGGTGAAATTCAGATCTTGTTATTGATAGGTGTATAGGTTCTTCATGCTGGAGATGCATTTCTTGGTTTTGCTTGAGACCTTGATTTAACATGTTTTTGCAGACGGGATTATTCACAGGTGTTTTCTTAGCTGTGCTTTTGGGGGCATCTTTTGGTTCTTTAGCTACCTTGTTTACTAAGGACACAGAAGTTTTAGGAGTTGTTAGAACTGGGGTATTGGTACGTATGCTTGCTCTGTTGTATCTTTCAAAAATTTTGTTTCTCTTTAATTGGATGTGGATGTGCTAACAGTTTGCTAATGTGATTTTATCTAAAATTGTTAAAGTTTGTCAGTGCCAGTCAACCAATAAATGCTCTAGCTTTTGTTTTTGATGGTCTCCATTATGGTGTTTCAGATTTCTCATATGCAGCTCATTCTATGGTAAGGTTTTAGGTTTAATCTCTTTGAGATGTCACAAGTTGGGCTGTCAAGATTGCTTATATAACTTCTCTTAAAATCTATGACGGGAATTATAGATGGTGGTGGGAGCAATATCTTCCGTGTTTCTTCTGTATGCTCCTTCATTTTTTGGTCTTTACGGTGTTTGGTCGGGCTTGGTTCTCTTAATGGGATTGCGTATGATGGCAGGATATATCAGGTAAACTGGATAATATTATGACCAGTCTCTTTCCTCTGTTCAGAAATTTGTGTCAGCAAATGAGTTTTCATTCTAATGATGAGGTCGATAAAGTTCCTGATGGTGAAGTGCTGATATAGTGAGATATAACTTTTGATGAAATCTTGTTAAGATATAATATATGTACTATAGACGTAGTGTTAAGAGTTGGTTTTCTGCTTTATCTTCTTCAGTATACATGTTTTAGGAACATGTTTGTGTTTTCTCTACCACTTGCAAAAGTTTCCTGTTTACATGAGTGTGGCTTTAAAGACATTTTTATGTTCAATCAATAGGAGCTAGTTTTGTTGAAACGATAATTTATTGAAGAGCTGTACAGCATGTCAGAAACTGTTAGATGAATGTATGACTCTTCTTAGACAAACAAAAAGAATATAAGTCGATAGAAATTTTAGCTCAATCATAGTTGTTGATTTCTAGATTGTGCTGATTTTACAGGTAGGATACTTCCTTCTTGCCTTGTCATGTGTGTTTTAATGTACTTATCAGTTGGCTATTTTTAATCTTACATTTCAGATTATTGTCGAAAACTGGTCCATGGTGGTTTCTTTATGGGGACTTAAAGAGAACTGAGGTTGGTTTTCTTTGGTTATCTTTTAATTCCTAATTGTAGTAATGCCTCAGGTTCTGCCAATATTCTTTTTCTTTTTCTTTTTTTGGGCATGAAAATCTGACCTGAGAACTAAGCCAATCCCACCCCACACCGTTACCACCTGAGCTGTGGCCCAGGAAGGCAGGAACTGCAAGTACTTCAATAACCTTTTCATTGCCAAGGCTATTATAAGTTTTCTTGTATTATATTAATGGAATCAATCGTCATTTTCTTAATAAATTTTGATGGAATGCATGTTTTCTTCCTATTAATTTTTCTTCTTTTTCTCGAGCCTCTTGAAGTATTTCTGTTCTTTGTTTCTTCTAATAACTATTTGAGAAGTTTTAATTAATTACCTCTATATTCTGGTGTATTTAAGCTTTCCTTTGTCAAAATCGGAGGTATATCTGGTTAATTTTATGTTAGTCTTTCTCAATATTAGAGAAACTTAAATTTTAGTTCCATTAGGAGAATGGTGCAACTAAAACTGATGAGAACTCTACAGGGGCAATGGATTAAGAGGGTTGGAAAATTGCAAGGATGATTCAAAGAAAACCCAGATTCTGTATCTCGGCCTACAATCCAGACAATGTTCTAGTAAGAGTACGATGCCATGGCTACTCCGGTAACTCCGATTATTTACATATAAGAGACCTAGCCTTAATTTGTTGAAGCACCTTCAATGATAAGCAAATTAAGCAGAGAGTGTTATCGGGTTATGTTGTAAAAGGGTTGGAAATGGGTACTAAGATAAAATAATTTTTTGCTTTAAGTCTGGAAGTGTAGCTTGTATAGGTTGATTGATTTGAAAGAATCCTTGACAATGAAATTTTCAAGTGAATTCTAGTTAAAGCTTTACTCTGTATCAAGAAAGAATTTGCAACATTAAGTCTATCCTATGCACAAGTGATATCTTTTCTGCCGCCTAAAGATGAGGTTGTGCTCGAGTCCCTGTTTGGACAAAGTGAGTGTTTGTGTCTTCCCTATAGGCTATAGGTCAATCCATTGGTATTTCAGCAATCTCTACTTCTACAAGTACTAAATAAGCAATCAAATGAGCTAGCGATAGTCAACATTTGATATCGGCTAAAATTTGATATATATATATATTTATTAATCGTCTGTCTATCAGTTCCATCATCGTTCTCATTTGTTGCCGTTGCTGAATTTGTTTTGCAAATAGTTATTGATGGTTGTTTAACTACCTTTCTTGCTTCAATTTTCAGTTTGGATGTTGATAAGGAATAATCTGGTATCCATATTGTGTTCACCAGCACTTTGAGAATGAGTTGCAAGCCTTGGAACAAAATTAGCTTGTAAGTTGTAACATTGAATTCGATCTTATGGGCTATACAGTAATTTTTGGTTATCAGTTTATTTATTTATTTATTTTTCAGCATTCTTCTTATAATCTGATTGACGCATCAGAGTAAGAAAATGCCTGTAAATCGAATAGATTTTTGTTAAAACATTTATTACCAGAGAAGGTTATTTTGATCAATTCCAGCACTTGATGGTTGTTTCTTGAACTTATATTATGTGCATTTAAGATTCATACAACTTATGGAACTATTGTTATGCATAGTACATCTATGTTGGGTCACATTTTAGGGTCTTTTGTAACGACTCTAAACTGATATCATTTATAAAAAAAAAATCGGCATGACCTCTGTTAAAAAGGGTCCTACGACAACCTGCTTAAATGCATAAAAATGCAAAGGTCTCCCTTGAACCTTCAAAATTTATCTAACATGTCCCAACACAATGCAAATAATACATTCCAGCATCCTTTTCATCCATTCATCATGCCTCAACATGGTTTATCTCATAGTGGAATATCTACATACCATTTAATCCAAATTATCATAATTACAGTCCCAAAATATATGGTTAAGATCTAAAGTCCATGTCTTACAATGTTTAGACAACTTATAATAAAATTACAGCCCATAAATATAATTTACTATAACAAGAGTTCATAAATCTCTATACCAAATAGAACAAACTAAGATTTTACAAAAAATATGGGACTTAAATACAAAAATAGCAAAACGATCTTCTAATCCAATTTAGGCCTGTGGTGGAACGTCATCCGCCACTTCTTTCCCGTTTCCTGAAAAAAATGTTAAATAAAAGGGGTGAGCAAAATTGCTCAATAGGTGGTGCCTAAGGCACACCTCTTGTGTCCCCATGAATCCAAACAAGGAATAGGACAATAGGAATCGGGGTCATACTATGTCGAGAAAGTATAATATTAAATCCAATCTCAGCATACACAATATGATGCTATGAAATGCAATGCATGCCGATGTCGCTCCTCATTTTCAACATTCAAATTCATCACTTTCAAACTGTTAATATAACCCGCCCTTTGGTAACCCCGCAGCGACACGAGAGAAGGATTTGCTAGTGTCCCTAACCCTTAGTACCCCCGCGGTGTCATTTTGGGCCCAGCTAGCTCAACCACGTTAGGGCAATCTCTCTAATTCCCTCTAGGCTATATTAACACACCGGCCCTTTGGTGACCCCACGGCGACCGGGTTTTCTCAAAACCATTTTAATCAAAACTTCTTCCCAAAATTCCCCTTTTTCATTTCAAATCACATTAATCCCATTTCATGCCCAATGCTAGTGCATGGATGCATCATGCCATGTCCAAGTTCATCATTCCATAACTAACTCAAACTTAATTAATATAGCATGATTCACAAGAATTTTCAAGTAAAACTACAACATGCTTTCATACAATCGAGATCTAGCATGATAGGCATACAAAAATTAACATTTAGGCATGCTCTTCACATGGGTCAATTAATACACATAACTACACATCAACGTATATACAACAACGAAGTAATTTGCTAGATTTTACACGAATTAGTCATGTTAGACAACAATTCATAAAGGATTATGAACTTTATACATTACAACACAATTATTCTAGGATAATGATCATCAATTGGACAAATTAACAACAATTACATGAATTTAACTCACAAAGGAACAAGAAAATGTTGGTTAGAGACCTTTACCTCAATCTAAGCCAAAAACCACAATTTTCACCTCAACCCCTCAAAATGGGTCTCAATTTTCGGACTTTCTAGAGTGGCCAAAAGCTGAAATTGCTGGTGGATTTAAAGGTCTCGTCGTGGGCTTCAATTTGCCGCAAACGGCACTTAAAATTACCAAGTGGTTGAAGATTAATCAAGCTTAATTGTGTAGAAGAAAAAAAAGAAAAGGAAAGAGAAGCATGCGGCAGAGAGGGAACAGACCGAGAGAGAAGAAAAGAAAAAAAAACAGTGGGTCTGTAATGACTCATTACTCATTATAGTGACTTAAAATTGGAGTGGGTCCCAGCTTATAAAAAACTTCATTTCACATTTACATATATATATATGTGTGTGTGTGTGTGTGTGTGTGTGTGTGTGTATAAACATTACATTCTCCCCAACTTTAAAAGATTTCGTCCCCGAAATCAAGCTATACTTGAAGGAGAAAACAACCCTGGATACTTGGAGCGAATCTCCTGTTTAAGCTCCCAAGTAGCCTCCTCGACTTCGCGGTGTCTCCAAAGAACTTTCTCCAATGATATCGTCTTCTTCCTCAACACCTTCTGCTATGTGTCAAGGATCTGAACTGGCCCTTCTTCGTAGGAAACATTCTCATCAGTGTCCACATCAACCCAACTCAAAATCTGAGATGGATCCAGCTCGTACTTCCGTAACATCGATACATAAAAGACATTGTGGACTTTATCCATCTGTAGTGGCAACGCAAGTATGTAGGCAACCTATTCTACACGGTCCAAAATCTCAAACGGTCCAATGAATCATGGCGACAACTTGCCACTTTTCCCAAATCTTATCAATCCTTTCCGTGGAGAAACCCATAGAAAAACATAGTCTTCCACCTCAAAGGATAACGGCCGTCTCCGCTTATCCGCATAACTCTTCTGTCGGCTCTGAGCTTTAAGTAACCCCTGTCTGATCAGCTTAATCTTCTCAGTAGTCTCGAGTACTATGTCGGGTCCTAAGGCGGCGGTCTCACCCACCTCAGTCCAACAAACAGGAGACCTACAAGGTCTACCATACAACGCCTCAAATGGAGCCATTTGGATACTCGCCTGATAACTGTTGTTGTAGGCAAACTCAATAAGCGGTAAATGATCTTCTCAACTACCACCCAAGTCAAGCACACATGCCCGAAGCATATCCTCTAAGATCTGAATAGTACGTTCCGACTGGCCGTCTGTCTGTGGATGGAATGCCGTACTAAGATGCAACGTTGAACCAAACGTTGCTTGAAGTCCTTCCCAGAACTTCGAAGTGAACTTGGCAATGGTTACTGAAACTCCATGCAACCTTATAATCTCCTTCACATAAAGTACACTAAGCTTCTCTGCATCATTTGTTGCTTTAATAGGCAAAAAGTGAGCCGTCTTGGTCAACCTGTCAACGATGACCCATACGGCTTCATTGCCCTTCCGTGACCTTGGAAGACCTGTCACAAAATTCATAGCAATATGTTCCCATTTCCACTGCGCTACAGGTAATGGTTGCAACAAACCGGCTGGTCTCTGCTGCTCGGCCTTCACCTGCTGACAGGTAAGGCACTTAGCCACAAACTGAGCAACATCTTTCTTCATCCCGTTCCACCAATACTGACATCTCAAATTGTGATACATCTTGGTACCACATAGATGAGCTGCAAAGCGAGAAGTGTGAAACTCCCGTAAGACGTCCTCATGACAAACCGTGGGAATCACCAACAAACCCCTGAACCGTAGACCACCATCTGCATACCAGGCCCAATCTTTCATTGTCTCACCACTGGAGATCAAAACGTGAATGACATCTAAATCCGGGTCCTGTCTCTGTGACTCAATCACTAGTACAACAAGAGTAGGCTGAGCCAAAAGACTAAACAAGAATGCTGGCTCGTTGTCAACATCGTCATCAAAACAATACAATCCCATCTCTGCCAAATCCTTAAGCATTTTTCACTTCCGAATAGCCAAACAGGCCAGAGTCCCATGAGATTTCCGACTTAAGGCATCTACTACCACATTTGCCTTGCCCGGATGATACTGTAAGTCAAAATTATAGTCCTCCAAGAACTCAACCCATCTTCTCTGTCTGTTGTTTAAGTCCTTTTGGGTGAAAAGGTACTTGAGACTTTTATGATCTGAGTATACCTCGAATCTCTCACCATACAAGTAATGTCTCCAACACTTCAAGGCAAATACCACTGTCGCTAACTCTAAATCATGAGTAGGGTAGTTAAGCTCGTGAGTTTTCAACTGTCGAGACCCATAAGCCACTACTCTACCATCCTGCATCAACACATATCCCAAACCATCACGTGAAGCGTCACAATAAATCAAATAACCCAAGCCACGTTCAGGTATCACCAACACTGAAGCTGTAGTCAATCTTGTCTTTAACTCCTGAAAAGATGTCTCACAGGCTTCATTCCAGACGAACTTGATCCTTTTCCAGGTCAAACGGGTCATAGGACCTGCCAAGCGAGAAAAATCCTTCACAAATCTTCGGTAGTAACCCGTCAGGCCAAGGAAACTCCGGATCTCAAAAACATTCTTGGGTTGCTTCCAATTCAAAACTACTCTAACCTTTGATGGATCTACTGACACTCTACCTTCTGAAACAACATGCCCTAAAAATTTCACCTCCTGTAGCCAAAACTCACATTTCTCATATTTGGCATACAATCGATGCTCCCGCAAAATCTGTAAAACAATACCCAAATGGACCTCGTGTTCCTCCCGAGATAGTGAATACATGAGAATGTCATCCACGAAAACTACCACAAACTGGTCCAAGTAATCGTGAAAGACGCGGTTCATCAAGTTCATGAATGCCGCTGGCGCATTAGTCAAGCCAAAAGGCATAACAAGGAACTCATAGTGTCCATACCGTGTACGGAACGCTGTCTTTGGGATATCCTTATCCCTAACCCGTAACTGATAGTAGCCTGACCTTAAGTCAATCTTCGAAAAACAACTGGCTCCTCTCAACTAATCAAACAAATTATCTATCCTTGACAAATGATACTTATTCTTGATGGTGGCACGATTCAACTTCCGGTAATCAATGCATAACCTCAAAGAACCATCATTCTTCTTAGCAAACAAGACCGGTGCGCCCCACGGTGACACACTCGGTCGGATGAAACCTTTCATCCTCAAATCATCAAGCTGCCTCTTTAATTCTTCCAATTCAACTGGTGTCATACGATACGGTACCATAGAAATCGGCGTGGTACCTAGCATTAAATCAATAGTGAACTCCACTTCTCGGTGTGGAGGTAACTCTGTCAAATCCTCCGGAAACACATCCAGAAAATCACGAACAACTGCAGAATAATCTTCTTCCACAACATCATCTTCTTCGGCTATAAGGCTAGCCAAGAAGTAATCACCACGACTCCGTGCACGAACTCCATAAAATGATGAAATGTGGGAATCACTCCGACCTCCTACGAAAAAGAAACAGTTTCCCTCAGGAGTGCAAATCGTGACTCTACCTTTGAAACAGTTGATCGTGGCATGAAAGGAAGCTAACCAATCCATCATGAGAATGACATCAAAACTAGTCATCTCCAGGAGGATAAGGTCAAACATAAAAGTCTGTCCGGCTATCACAATGGAACAATCCCGCACAACTCAGCTCAAAGATACTGAAACCCCAACTGGCGTATCAACATACAACGCCCGATCCATGAAACTGATCTCTAACCTCGATGCAAGTGTAAATGATGATGATATGAAAAATGAGATGCACCAGAGTCAAACAAAACACGGGCTCAAGAACCAAACACTGGAAATATACCTCGGAGAACTGACGGACAAGAAGATGCATCAGCCTGTGCAAGTGCAAAAACACGTCCCTGTGCCTAAGAACTGCCAACTTGAATACCTGACTGCTGCACTGACATAATAGGAGTATCCCTTATAACTGGCCGTGAACCCTGAGAAGACATGATAGGCTGTGGTGGTGGTGGTCTGAAACTTGACTGAACCATAGCCGACTGTGACGGCCTCTGCCTTGACCCTCTGTTACTAGTGGTGCCTGCTCCCTGACTCGGACAGTTTCGAATCAAGTGGCCATGTTGGCCACACCCATAACAAGCCCTCGGAGCTGAAGAAACTGAAGACGATCTCGTGGGACAATTGGACTTGTAATATCCAGGCTGCTGACACTGAAAGTAAACAACTCTACTCTTGTCCGACCAAGCTGGCATAGGAGTGGTAGGAGCGGATCGTGCAGACTGATGCCCTTGAAACTGAGATTAATCACTCCTGTTCCTCTTCCATGAAGGTCCCTCTGAAAATGACCCTGCATTCCTCTTTTGCTTCCACCGTTCCCTTCTTGCATCTTTATCTTTGGCCTCCGCCTCTAGCATCAATGCTCTTTCCACTGCCTCAGAATAAACCTTGATGCCCTGTGCTGTTAACAACAGCCTCATCTTGTAGTCAAGTCTAGAGATAAATTTCTGAACCTTATCAACTTCATTACTCACCATCTCTAGAGCAAAGCGAGAGAGTGAGGTGAACTTGTTCTCGTACTCTGTCACTGACATATTGTCTTGGATAAGGCCAATAACTGATCCTTTAACTCCCATCTCTTGGAGGCAGGGAAATATTTCTCATAGAACAGCTCTGTGATGATTCGATTTTTTTTGAGATTTTAATTATTTTATTATTTTTTTCGACTATCTAAATTAATTATTTATTAAGGTTGGTCGGCTTAATTTAATTTAGATTTGTAATTTAATATATATATATATATATAATAAAGGAAGTGGGCAGCATCGAAATGGAAGGGAAATAAGGAAATTTGTTTTACGTGAGGTGCAGTAGAGAGAGATTAATGGGTTTTGATTTTTTTTATTAATTAATTTTGTTATATTATATATATACATATATGTTATATGGAGGTATCTTATATATATATATAGAGTAGGCTGAGAAATGGAAAAAGGAGAAAAGAACAATTGTGATGTTGGTGGGCTCCACTTAGTTATTAAATAAGTAAGACTTTTTGACTTTGTTTTTTTTTATTACGTGGTTTGGAATTGATTTGGATGTAAGATGAGTTTATATATATATATACATATATGTGATCTGATGGAGTTGGTGAATGGGTAATGGTATTGGTAATTCGCGGGTCCCACTTGTGATTTTAACGGGTAAATTTCTTTGACTTTGGTACAATTCACGTGGGTTGTTTGGGTGCTTGTATGTGGGATTAAAGGAATGAAAAGAAAGGAGGAGCAGGTTGGTCACGTAGGCTGTTTTGCTTAAAAGACATGATGTTGTCTGACATTTTACTTTTGAGTGTGTGGTAAGTAGATTGACGTGTGTATGGAGATGGAGTCGGTGGAGAGCAGTTGGTGAGTTGAGGTCGGTATATTTTGTCTATATATTGGGTGCGTTCTTGTGACTTGTGAGCATTCAATGACAGAATAGAAAATTTGAGAAGTTTGAGAGAGAAAAATAGAGTAAAGACAGAGAGTTTCGAGACAGAAAGAGTGAGCCGAGAATGATAGTTAGCATATAGACAGAGAGGTTCGATAGTTGCAGAGGAGGTCTCGGAGCTTGAAGCTTTGATGATTCAGTGAGGATAACTCTTTTTCAGTGTAGGGTTCTTTATACCTTGAATGGCATGGGGAGGTTTTGTTTTAATGTTTTTATTAAATGTTTTTAATTAAATGCATATGTATTTAATATATATGTTTATGTTGTGAACCTGTTTTATTAAACCTCCATGAGATTCTTGTTATAGTTTTTCCTACTGCGACTTTCAGTCTCACCACCCTCCAGTTTTAGGTACCGAAGATGGACGGGGATTACTAGAGACGGGTTTAGGATGAAGAGTTGGCGTTGCGAGTTTTATTTTTTATTATTTGGAGATTTTTTTGTATATTTGAGGAAATTGATTTTTGTATAAAAGAGAGGGCAATTTTTATGATCCTGGGTATATTTTGATGTATTTGTATTTGAATAAATGGAGGATTTTATTGGAATTGTCGGGGCGTGACAAGCTCCTTGAACCTATCCCAACTCATCTATTCAATCTTATACTGATTTGTGACCGACTTCCAGCAAAACTTGGCATGCTTTGAAAACTTTTAAGTGGCTAAGATGATTTTCAAGTGATCATTCGTCACATCTATAGAAGTCAATTGAGTTTCAACTTGATCCATATAGTCATCCGCTTCCATTGGATCCGCACCACCTTCGAACATTACCGGCATCAACTGAGAAAACCCTTTAATAATCTTGAGACGTTTTTGTGCTAGCGTCTCCTCTACCTGAACTACCGGTTGTGGTACTGGTTGCGGTATCGGCTGTGGATGTGTAGCAATTGTAGCCCTCAAGGCTCTCTGTAACAAACGGTTCAATGCAAGTTCTGCCGAACTTTCACCCTCTTTAACGGGTGCTTCCACATTATCCCTCCTTGTAGGAACAACTCTTGGGGTAATCAAATCCCTAAGAAGTGTGTCCTCATCAACTGGCTCTGCCGGATTGGAGCTAGAGCTCTCGCCAACATTACTTCTTGTTGGCCTAGGGCCAACTTTCCTGTGTTCCTCACGCCGTGACATCGTTCTATAAAACAAAGAAAACAGTTCAATAACGATAACACTAAGGTCCAACCGTGAACAACTCAACACAAAAGTATACTATACTAACACTTAGCATGCAAGACTATACAATGAACACATTAATATAAGCACATAAGCACATAAACAGGTAAACAAGTAAACAGTTAAGCATGCTTTTTCACATAGCAAAACACTTTAACAAATAAGGAATTAACAATGCAAATGACTTCCTAGACAACCTTAGGTAGGCCTCTACCCGTCGTCCTAATGGTTTTCGAACCAATGCTTTGATACCAAATTTGTAACGACTCTAAACTGATACCATTTATAAAAAAAAATTCGGCATGACCTCCGCTAAAAGGGGTCCTACGACAACCTGCTTAAATGCATAAAAATGCAAAGGTCTCTCTTGGACCTTCAAAATTTATCTAACCTGTCCCAGCACAATGCAAATAATATATTCCAACATCCCTTTCATCCATTCATCATGCCTCAACATGGTTCATCTCATGGTGGAACATCCACATACCATTTAATCCAAATTATCATAATTACAGTCTCAAAATATATGGTTAAGATCTAAAGTCCATGTCTTACAACGTTTAGACACCTTATAATAAAATTACAGCCCATAAATATAATTTACAATAACAAGAGTTCACAAATCTTTATACCAAATATACAAACTAAGATTTTACAAAAAATATGGGACTTAAATACAAAAATAGCAAAACGATCTTCTAATCCAATTCAGGCCTGTGGTGGAACGTCATCCGCCACTTCTTTCCCGTTTCCTTAAAAAAATGTTAAATAAAAGGGGTGAGCAAAATTACTCAATAGGTGGTGCCTAAGACACACCTTTCGTGTCCCTGTGAATCCAAATAAGGAATAAGATAATAGGAATCGGGGTCATACTATGTTGGGAAAGTACAACATTAAATCTAATCTCAGCATATACAATATGATGCTATGAAATGCAATGCATGCTGATGTCGCTTCCCATTTTCAACACTCAAATCCATCACTTTCAAATTGTTAATATAACCCGCCCTTTGGTGACCTCGCAGCGACACGAGAGAATGATTTGCTAGTGTCCCTGACACTTGGTACCCCCGCGGCGTCATTTTGAGCCTAGCTATCTCAACCACGCTAGGGCAATCTCCCTAATTCTCTCTAGGTTATATTTACACACCGGCCCTTTGGTGACCTCGTGGCGACCTGGTTTTCTCAAAACTATTTTAATCAAAACTTCTTCCTAAAATTCCCCCTTTTCATTTCAAACACATTAATCCCATTTTATGCCCAATGCTAGTGCGTGGATGCATCATGCCGTGTCCAAGTTCACCATTCCATAACTAACTCAAACTTAATTAATATAGCATGATTCACAAGAATTTTTAAGTAAAACTACAACATGCTTTCATACAATCGAGATCTAGCATGATAGGCATATTAAAATCAACATTTAGGCATGCTCTTCACATGGGTCAATTAATACACATAACTACATATTAGCGTATATACAACAACCAAGTAATTTGTTAGATTTTACACAAATTAGTCATGCTAGACAACAATTCATAGAGGATTATGAACTTTATACATTACAACACAATTATTCTAGAATAATGATCATCAATTGGACAAATTAAGAACAATTACATGAATTTAACTCACAAAGGAACAAGAAAATGTGGGTTAGAGATCCCTACCTCAATTTAAGCCAAAAGCCCCAATTTTCACCTCAACCCCTCAAAATGGGTCTCAATTTTCAGACTTCCTAGAGTGGTCAAAAGCTGAAATTGCTGATATGAATTTGAAGATCTCGTCGTGACCTTCAATTTGCCGTAAATGGTACTTAAAATTACCAAGTAGTTGAAGATTAATCAAGCTTAATTGTGTAGAAGAAAAAAAAAGAAAAGGAAAGAGAAGCATGCGGCAGAGAGGAACAGACCGAGAGAGAATGAAAAGAAAAAAAAAAAAACAGTGACCCATTACTCATTATAGTGACTTAAAATTGGAGTGGGTCCCACAGCTTATAAAAAAATTCATTTCACATTTACATATACATATATATATGTATGTATATGCATAAACATTACATGTTTTCTTGGTTGGGTACACGTTAAGATAGAGGTTTTTCTTAAGATGGTGGTTCCTGATTTTTCCCCAAGATGGTGGTTTTTCATCCTCCTTAAGTAGCTGGTGAGGTGAGGATTAAAAATAATTTGATGATGTAATATTAGCTCAAAATGAAGATATTTATGTAAGCATAAATAATATTCTCAGGGTACCAAAACATGATGTTCATGAGAAATATCAAACCCTAACACTCCCTTCCTATTATGGTCTCCCACCACCACCACCACCACCAACAACAACCAGCAACTATGTACCAACATAAGTCCCTTCCTTGCTCTTATCACCGACAGGCCCCGATTCAGAAGCTTCGAATGTCCCTCAACGATCGTTGCTCCCTATCTGCAGTAATGGAAGCTCCTATTCCTCAACAGTCTACAACTTCGTACATAATTATGCCAAATTGTCTCTCCGTTTGAGACTTTGTGAACGCCAACGAAGAAAGCATTGACAACATTTTCATGTCATTCTGAGCAATTCGGTGCGTGAAGTCGACATAACATCAAGTAATTCCATATGAAATTGTCTCTCTGAAGTTTTAATCTTGACGAATCTTTGTTTGCATTTTCTAATTTATAAGATCCTTGAAATCTTTGCATTGTTCTTGTATTGTTCAGAGTATGTGTTTCTTTAAAAAATGAAGCTTTGAGGAGGGCAGAGAGAAGGGGGAGGGACTATGGGGATTAGAAAAGGAGCTAGCTAGCATTGCTGATCCAAAAAGAAGTTGTTGTAGAGGTTTAACAATGGAGGAAGAATGGAGTGAGAAGTGATCAGGAATTTTATATGATGAGAGGGTACAATAGAATCCCTATTGAAGGCCCAACGCAGGGGCTCTTTTGGCATTCCATTTTATTGATAATAGTAATGGAGCATAGTAAAGTTAGTAGTAATTCAACACAGTGGACTTAAGGTTGAGCGTAGTCCATGGGGCCATAAGGCTCGAATAATTCAGCTATAAATCCCATCTTCCTCTTAGGCTTTCATCCCATGTCTTTGCACAGTTGATCATTGCACCATATATGCAGGGCACCAATGCAAGATCTTCGGTAATTCTGGCCAGAGGACTGTTTGAAGTATTCACCCCAATTTTTAACATTTTTCTCCATCTCTTTAATACTAGGAACCTTGAATTTGCCATCAAGAAGCTCTGTCACCCATCGACACCTAATCTCCGAGGTGAACAAGTCTGCATAACCCTCTGAGAATCCAATTACAGCTAGTTGTGGAATTCGAGGATGAATGCATTCCCTGATAAAATTAAGTTCATATTAGTGTGTATATATATATATATACATATCCCTCACATACATATATGCGTATCTGTCTCTAGAGGTTCAGCCTCACCATCAATTAAACTCCCTTTTTTGTAAAAGCTAAAACTCATAGCTTTCTTCAGTTGGATGCTTCCTTCTTCAACTTTATCATAAAAGTCCTCGGGCTAGGCTGAGATCAAACAAAAACCGAAGTCTTCTAAGAAACGTTGTTTTGGCAGCATGCCAAACTTTGCAAGCTGATTCTTCCTTTTTATGTGACTTTCAACAAAATTTGAAAATCCCCATCTCCGTTGAATCGGACTGCATATGTTAGCTTCAATAAATGTATCTAAACAAAAATTTAACTAAAAACAATTTTATCTCAACTATTTTGAGTCAATTATATAAATCATGTTTCCCAATTTTATTCCATTTGAAATAATGAAATCATACACATATTAATGTCCATTATTTGAAATGAAGTTCCAAGTATTCTAAAAGAGATATACCAAAGGTGAAAGAATTTTTGCCAGGAGACTAAGTAGAAACCCTTCACCAGGCTTATGAACCAGAAGCTCCGCGAAGCGATTGAGGTAAAGATATTCCATGGGAACTCCCCATGGAAGAAAATCGGACAAGTGCCAGTGTTCAGTCCTGTATATAAATTGTACATGGATGTTCCACACCTGCAACCCAATTAAAAAATGCCCTGTTATGTATTAATTTAGTGGTGGTCCTGGTGGACATTGAAATACGTAGGGCTGACCTTGTTTGTACATGATAAAGGCAGGAATGATGATAACGGCTTTGAAATACATACCTCAGTTGAAAGGCTTTGGATGTCCTCTACTATAAGGCTCCATTTCCCTTTGGAGCTGAAGGGCTCACCTGTGCCGCCCCACATTGTCCAGGCTTGCATCTCTTCTTCATCTGATGGGCCTTTATAGCTGATGCTAACCACTCTGCAATTGAACTTGATGTGCTGGAGCAGATCAAAATGACGAGCGTATGATTGGAGATAGTCCGAGAGTTGATGTTGGCTAGGAAACTCTTCTGTCACCGAAGGTGGCCACAGAAAATCTGAGAACTGGTAGAAAAATTTAGGAGTCTGGAGCTTAGTAGTCTCTAGAGTTTTGGTCCATACTCCACCAATGCTGCTTCTTGATTCAAAGACTATTGGAAGGAAACCCTTTGAGAGGGTGTATTTGCAGGCTAGAAGACCACTAACACCAGCTCCAATTATACCCACCTGCCTCTCCATTGCTCAACTATAGCAATCAATCTTAATCACCTTATTCCTTCTGTGTTGGATGTCCTTATATATATAAACACGCATAAAATATTCACGTGATACATGCATTGTGTAACTATGTATGTGATATCATACATGAGGTACGTGCAATATATATAGATATCACTACAAGAATATGTGGTCCCTAGCTTATGGGAAAAATACATATGTGGGCCAGATCATAAATAATTCTGGAGAAGCAATTATGGAAATGGAATTAAAATATGAATATGAGAGTAGTTCAACCATTGGCATGAAAGTCCAGCCAGGAAGGATCCGGACTAAGTACCAATGAACTGTGAAGAATTATTTTGAAGAAGGATTTTTATTTTATATTTTTGGTCAGCTAAGCACTCACACATAGGTTTTTCTCGTATCTGCGCTTGAATCCCTCCCCTCCTCTTCGAGGATGAAGAGGTTATACCGCTGGACTAGATGCCCTTTGGTTCTTTAGTTCAAGAATTAATCAGAGTAATATCGTTGATTAGATTTTTACCTTCTCCAAGTTCTTAGTGAGGAAGAATGGGATATTATTATATGGTCCTCGGCCATATAGCTGCTACTTGGTGGTAATATCGTTGATTAGATTTTTACCTTCTCCAAATTCTTAGTGAGGAAGAATGGGAGATTATACGGTCCTAGGCCATATACCTGCTACTTGGTGGTCAGTCCAATTGAAGCTAATGGTTCAAGTTTTTTGGTACTTCATTGAAGAGTCTAAATTAAACTGGACGACCAAGTGTTAGTGGTGAAGACCATTTGATAATTTCTGAAGGATGGATATCAATTTCATCATTACAAGCTGTCCTTTAAGAACTGGCATTTTTGTTCGGTAATCAGATCTTGTATACCAAGAAAAATGTGTATTTATTTAAAATATGTGCAATACGATCATTTTATTCAGCATAATCCATTTACTATCATGAGTGTCAGATCTTTATTGATATGCTCTATTTTTCAAGAAGATAAAAAGGAAAAGGAAATATTAAATCACGGTATTGATGATATTTATTTCTAGGGTAATTTACACAGACTTTTTTTATGAGCGATCATAATTACAGGCGGCACTCTTTTTGTTTCGAAAATTACGCGGACCTTCTTTATTTTTTAAAATATTTTACACAGATCTCCCTTATGTGTGACGGACTGTTAAATACACTAACGGATTTGTCAAAATTACTGAAATACCCTCTCTTTGGCATCTGAAATTACTAAACTACCCATCTGGCTCTCTGCAACGACTTTATTTCTCTTTTCGGTGAATCCGCCGCCGGCAGTAAAGCCAACTTTATTTCTCTTCCCGATGACAAAAAAATTCACACAATTCACATACCCTTTTGGGACACAAATATAATTAAGGTAGCCCGCAATATTTTCCAAGATTTATTTCTGCAATACATTCATTCAATTTTCACGAAGAAGAAGAAGAAGAAGCATAGCCTTAATCTCTACGGGTTTCTGGGTTTTTGTTTCTTCTTCCTCATGATGCAATATCCTTGAAAATTTGATAGTTGATTGCCAGTAATTTCTAATCGTTGCAATCTCTAATCTTTACGAGTTTCTGGGTTTTTGATTCATAGTATACTGTACAATATATATATATATATATATATATATATATATATATATTCAATGCCTTCCTTTCACCACCATTGTTGTCGCTTGAGAGCTTCGATAATCATCCATTGAATAAAAAGCACCATTTGTGTGTGTGATATATATATTAATGAATTTCCACCACAGCCGACCACCAACCTAGACGAAGATCTCGCCGTCGTGAACCAACACCGTTGCAAACCCAGACTAAGATTATCACTGCCAGCCGTCGCGAACCAATATATCAACATCGTTGCTAACCCAAACCAAGATTATCGCCGGCTGCCATGAACCAAACCTCAACACTGTTGCCTTAACCCCAAACCTCACTGAGTCACTGCCACCATTGCTGTAAATCACGTCGCCTTGATTATTGCCGGCTGCCGTGAACCAAACCTCAACACTGTCGCCTTAACCCCAAACCTCACTGAGTCAGTGCCACCATTGCTGTAAATCACGTCATTATCGCCGGCTGCCGTGAACCAAACCTCAACACTGTTGCCTTAACCCCAAACCTCACTGAGTTATTGCCACCATTGCTGTAAATCACGTCGCCTAGATTATCGCCGGCTGTCGTGAACCAAACCTCAACACTATCGCCTTAGCACTGAGTCACTGCCACCATTGTCGTAAATCACGTCGCCGGTGGTGTAGGTTTTTGTCAAATTGAGGTTGAATTGGAGTATTGAGTAAGAAGAAGTTGGATTTGAAACCTAAATCACTTTCTTTCTCTTTGATAGGTAAGTCCCAATCCCAATCACTCGCGTTGGG